GCAGGGGGGGGGGCAGTTGGGGGTGACCAGGACGGAAAAGGGGGCAGTAAGGGGCAACCAGGCTGGTGGGGGTGGACAATTAGGGGCAATCAGGCCAGCAGGGGGGGCAGTGAGGGACAACCAAATGACTGAACAGCAGGCTGTGTGGAAGGACCAGGCTGGCAGGTGGTACAGTAAGGGAAGAGCAAACAATCAAACATCAGGCTGTGTGGGGCTAGCAAGCTAGTGGGGTAGGGCAGTTAGGGGTGACCAGGCCGGCAGGGGTGGGCAGTTGGGGGCAATCAGGCCAGCAGGCTGAGGCAGTTGGGGTAATCAGACCAGCACGGGGATCAATGAGGGGTGACCAGGCCAGTAGGGGAGGCAGTGAGGGTCTATCAGGCCAGCAGGCAGAGGAAATTAGGGTTAATCAGGCTGGTGGTGGGGGGGAGTTAGTTGTGGTCAGGCAGGCAGGCAGGTGAGTGGATAGCAGACCTGTGAGAAGGAGGCAGGTGAGCGGTTAGCATCCCTGTGATATGGATGTCTGACTGCCAGTTTAGGCCTGATCCTCAGTATCACCAGTCAGATATCCCCCGAGGGGTCCTGGATTGGAGAGGGTGCAGGCTGAGCCTCTAGTTTTATAATAAATGGCACTACGGACCTGATGCCCACTAAGAGTTAGAAAGTTTAGAAACTTGACCCGACTGAAAAGAGGTAAGAAATGGTGGAACTTGAAAATAACTTCAGTTTTTCTCACTGTACAGAATATTGTCAAGCACTACTACCATTAAATATTTCATCCTTTGTTCTTACTGCATAATCCGATCTAATAAAAGACAAAAAGGGTAGTTGACCATAACTTCGCTACACTTCCCATTGGCTAATCAGGGTGATATGCAAATTTACTGCCAACAAAGATGGCGGTTAATTTGCATATGTACAAGATGGAATACGAAAGGGGAAGGATGGAAGATCGGTGATCGGAAACCCAGGTGGCAGGCAAGAGCTGGGGAGCCGGGGGTGCCAGCTGCCTGGGGCCCATGATCCCCATGGCGATCGGAGGGAGAGAGAGCCAGGGCGCAGGCCAGGCGTCAACCCGGACCCAGGGGGCCGGGGTTGCTGGCTGGCCTGCAGCCCTCTGATCCTTATGGCGATCAGAGGGAGAGAGGAAACCCCAACCGCCTTTGCCCTGCGCAAACTATGCAGCCAGGAGAGGGGCACCTGGCCGCTGGAAACAGGGCAGGAACTTCCTGGGATGGGTGTCAGGCAGCCTGGTGTGGGGCCAGAACTTCTGCCGTATTGCTATGGCCATGCAGCAGAAGTTCCCGCCCTGTAGCTGTTTGCTCATTCACTTACTGGCTCATTCATTCACTCATTCACTCACTCATTATTCACTCACTCACTCACTCACTCACTCACTCACTTAGCAAACCCTCTCAGGTCCCTGGAACCAGGCCAGGCACTGAAGTTGAAGCAGGGTAAGATAGAGCTATGTCGTCAAGATGTTAGTAATTCAGTAGGGCGAAGCAGGCACATCAACGAGGCAGTTGTAAGCCCAGATGCACTGTACTG